GAACTACAGAATATGGCATTTAAAATGTTAATTAAAAAGCTTATTATATCAGACAGAGACTCCCAGATCCTAGCAGTGACTCAAGGTCTCTGAAGAAGATTGTAAGGCACCACGCTGTCTCCACCTGGATTATGGCAACACTGACCTCTGGGCAAGATGCCCCAATGTGACACCTGCCACCAGGACCCGGAGCAGACTGTGGACAAACAGCAGGACATAGGAGAATTGATCTCACCTCTTTTGCCTAGACAATGTAAGATCAGTTTTCCCCATGTCCCTCTTCCATGGGAGAAATTCCCACCCTATGGACCTAGCAGCTTAAAATTGGTACTGTTCTGATGCTTCTGCCTCCAATGATGTGAAGACTTGGGTATGGATAGCTGGGTGTGGGCTGGTCCCTGTCATTTTTAATAGATTTGAAAGCTGCTTGGCCTGCACTCAGACATAATTTATCCTTCTCAGATCTCTGATTCCATCTGACGACCCGGCTTTGCTTCAGCTGCCTTCTCAGTTCTCTATATAAAATTCACAGGTCCCCCTCTCCTTGGGCTACTACTAGGTCTAGACACAATTTACCTTGTTACCAGATCAGATAAACTCACAGAACAGATTTCAATGTAACTTTTTACTACTGACTGCTCTCAGTATCTCCTGGAGAATTAGATAAAAGAAACAGCTTTAAGGTTTGTTTATATGAAGATAGGAAAGCTGTCTCACTTCTGTTCACTTACACATCCTTCTCAGATCTGATGATGTTTAGGGAAGCCTCCCTCCTCCTTCACTCACTCAACCACTTCCATTCAGTAAATTTCCTCTGGTTAGAGATTTAAAGACATGTTTCATTGGGCTGAAGCCAGGAAATGTTTATACCTTTAAACCCAAAGCCACAGCCTTTTGCTATGACACCAAACTGTTAATCTGTTCCAGCTGTCTTACAGATACCTGCAGGTTCCTGGGAAAAGTTCTGCTACTGTATCAAGACATCTGGTCTGATGAAAACTATCAGTCTCCAGAGCCCATTTTGACTGCACCCATTTTCGAGCATATTTTGCAGATTTACTCCTCCTGCCAGACTCATGCCAAGGCCAACCCACAGAGGGTCCTCCAGAAACACCAGGCCGTGCACCACCAATAAGGATGCCAACCAGGTGAATACTGACAGGTTAACTTCACCCACTTGCCTACTCATAAAGACTCTGTTATCTCCCAGTTCATTGACAGTTATTACAGGATGAATAGAGGCATTTCCTCCTCCAGAGAAAGAGCAGATGCGATGGCTCCTGTACTCCTGATTTGGTGTACTGTTCCCCAAAGCTCCTGGAACATCACTGCTGCAACCTGCCTTCTCAGCTCCCCCAAGGAACAGATGCCTGAGATCTCCATGCTTGAGAGCTCGATGATGACAGCTAACTGAACGCTTCTTCACTTACACCTCCCACCGCTCATAACTCCCCACTTTGCCCCTTGTCAGCAGGAAGCAGTCTCGAGAATTTGGTGCCCTCATTTCCACCCACCCGCACTTGCTATCTGTAACTCACCTTTTTATAATAATCAAAATGGAGGAATGTTTGTATTCTGACCTGCCCCTTGGGGACCCACCCACCATCCTGACATTATCTTATGTAAAGTCCCATTTAAGAAAAAAAACTCCTCCCTTTCACTCTCCCCACCCCCCTCTCATATATATATATATATATATATATATATATATATACACACACACACACACACACACACACACACATACATATATAATATCTTTTCTCCTTCTCTCCATTCCCTCGCCCCTCCCCCCAAAATAAACTTTCCACATGGTTGTCACGTCTGCCGTGTGAGTGACTTTCCATCATGCCAAGCTGTCTTCTGCCATGCCTACATGGCATGTCTCACCCACTATGAGGCACCTTGGTCCAAACCTGCCAAGACCTCTCAAGAGCCATTTCATAACATTAACAAATTTTCCTTTCCCAGAAGCTACCAAGTACCAAGTTTCTCATCTACTGTTAGATTTTCTCATCTACCTCCCCTTCTATACAGGGTTTTTGTTTGGCTGGTCAAACTGGATAGCTACATGTAGAAGAATAAAACTTGATCATTATTATTTTCTTCTAAGGTGATACCCCAATACATTTATAGCAGAATTCATTTATATGGCTATTACTAATATCCATCTTTTGATATCCTTGAATTGTACACAAGCTAAAATGGCTTACTAAAGCTTGTGAAGTCACAACGTGGTAATCTGATGTGTACATGGCCCTATGGTGATGATGGCTAACTAATGACACAAAACAAGCAACATACCAAAGTATACTTGAAATGTTTGCTTATAATCTCTTTAAGTTTCCTTAATTCCATAATTCTTCATTGAAAATTATTATTCACTAGTGATTTATTTTTAATAGGGAAGAAGAGAAATTTATGCTTTAAGTCTTATAATTTGCATGTACTTAATGCAGAGGTTTACAGAAAATGTAATTGTGGCCTTTGGAAAGAACAGCAGAGTTCTTTAGTTTGCGTCAGTGCTCATAATAATAGACCACAGACACCACCGCTCGGAACACTTCCTCAAAAGGGGGAGAACCATCAGTCACCTAAGCTCTATCCTCACTCAGGTCAAGCCAATGTTGGGATCTATTAACTGTAATAAGGCATCAATAGCTGCTCTTTTGTTCCAGCCATTGCAAAAGCAATCAGTGAATCATCAATCAGTTAGTCTTTGGAAGACCAATAAGCTGCTCGTATGCTCAAAGTTAGCTTACTATAGCATACAAAGAGGCTCTCCCATGTATATTCATCTATTCATCCGTACTCATACAAAAAGGAAACATGGATCTGGCCCATTACACTTCTTTCCTGTCACCTGATGTAACATAATCATTCAAGAAAGGAATTCTATTTACAGCTATCAAAGATTTCATTTGGAAGCCTACATTTTCCTTCTATGTTCTAGTCAGTTCTTAGTTCCTAAGACAAAATGCATTTTGAAAACTCCATGCCATTGTCAGGGCCTCTGCATTGAGTAATGTTAGTAATGACAATACAACTTTGCAGCTACTCAAGCACTGATGATGAAACTAAGCAAATATAATCAACCTGTTTCTAATACTTGGTCCACTATATCTGGTGGTCTGGTGATGGTAAACTGTGATGCTAAAGTCAGTTCTGTCATGCTTTAAGTGGTGAGAGATTTACTGTTTTTAAGGTGAAGTATGTAGCAACTTGCTTCTTAAGTAATAATTATAGTCTTTATGCCCAATCCCAACCAAACCATGTGAGATTAAGGAATGCATCATCATCTCTCTTAGCGTAGTGGTAGGGACAGGGAAGTTAACCAGTAATACTTTTTAAGAAATTAGTTGCTATTGAATGAGAAAGTCAGGGAAGATGTTGGAAGCCTGTGGGTAAGTAGGAAAGGGTGATGTGTTGGAAGACTCTCAGATGGTGACAACAGAACATCTCTTGCGGGAGGCAAGAATATATCATAGAGATTCAGCTGTGTATTAAAGCTGAACCTTGACCAGCCAAGGGTCTATCTAGAGGCAAACCATTTATTATGAATAGTTGGTGATATCCAGCCTTTAATATTTCAGCTGTCTTCTGCTATGAAATTCTTGCATGCCCAGATCAATTGGTAAACAGTTCAGCTTCCCAGACCTGTTTAACTTCTAAGTTACTAACTCTACCCTGCACTGAGCCTAGGAGACAAGCCCACAGGAGACGCATAGCTTTGCTTCTTGTGCAAATGAAGCTCAGACCATCCCCCTGCCCCTGAGGTCTAGCAGCTCTCCAGAGCAACTGACTGAGAACCAAAGATGTTTTTACATATCAAAGTGGGAGTTCTAACAACATTTGTAAAGAGGAGTGTGTCCAGGGAAAGAAAGAGCAGGCATTTTTCTGTAGACTAAGACAGAACAGCCTGGTGAGAGAGAAGGGAGTGTTGTGCCCAGATCATGACCCCCCAGAGAGACCACCAAAGACGAACATGCCAGAATGCAAAAGCAAGGTTTAATTCTGGATATACAAGCCCAGGCAGGGACTTCATCCAATACATCCAAAGCAGTGGAGGCTGGAGGAAGTGCCCGCCTGTCTGCAAGCTCAGTTTTTAAAGGGAAAAATCACAAGGCTACATCATTTAGGGGTGCTGGTATGGGTACAATTCTGATTGGCTCATTTCTAGGGGCTTTCTAGAAATCATGGCTTAATATTACTTCTAAGGGAGTGGTTACCTGCCACCATTTCTCATTGGCTGCCCTCAGGTGGGGACATTTTTATGGTCAGTTACCCTGGGAACCAGGGAGAGGACATTCCATAGTCCGGCAGGCATTACCTCGTGACTATCTTGTGACTCTGAACTTCTACACTTCCTGGATTCTGGAATCTGAACTTACTGGTTTCAGTAACTAATGGCCTATTCCCAAAAGGAGAAATCTTAGGCCTTAATTTTAGGGTGAAAGCATTTTGGTCTTATTTCTAAGATGGCTCATTTTGGTCTCACAGGAGAAAGACAGAGGTTCCATAGAGGGTAAGCAGATCTCAGGTAGAGTTTTCTGAGTGCCAGGAGTAGGGAGTAGCAGAGATGGAGAAAGAGGCAACAGAGGACGTAGATGAGACTGGAAGCATAGGAGTTTAATTGTTAGCAGGACTATGAGCTAGGGAACTGGATGGAACTGTAGTTATGGAGACAGGATTTCATCCCAAAGGAATAAAGTAGATGGATATAGAGCTTGGTGTATCTAGTGTTATTCCTGCCTTGAATGCCTGTCAGAGCTGTAGCTGTATTGGTAGAATTTTTTTCTTAGAGGAATAAAGTTAACAGACATTAAGAGCATAGTGTACGTAGATGTTTTTCCCTCAGATATCTTACGCCGGATGTAGCTAACTCCCAGACCCGGGAGTCCTCTACAGACATCAACAGGAATCTGTACAGACTATTGTTCCCTACTTCACAGGCCAAATCTGTAATCAGGCATAGCAATGTTACAACTTTTGAATGTTACCTGTTTAACTCCAATTGTGTGAGGTCGAGAAAGGCTGAGCCCATAAAGTCATCTTGCAGTCCAAAATCATAGTCAAATACCTAAGAGACCAAAAAGAAAAAGCATTTCAAAATAATTTCAGAAAAATTTTTAAATGAAACATACTGTTTCTAAAAACTGGCTATCTCTTCCACCAAAACAATGTCATCTCCTGATATGTTTATTTATTATTCTTTGTAATGTTAGAATTTCATAAAACATTCAAGTAAACTACAGTTTTATTTAGTATTTATTATCTCATTCTATTTGTATTAGCAATAGAAGTTTTACAGAAGGTTTAACAAAATCAAATGAAGTACAATGAATATTTAAAAGTATGGGAATCATAGCTTAGAATTCTTTTTTTTTTTAATTATCATAGAAGAGATATCATCAAGCCTAGACCCAAAGTGATTTAGTATTAGACTCAACAAATATATCTTCTGTTGGGCTATGGGTGGTTAGACCATGACTTCAACTTATTAGTCATATGTTTTAAGGTCATTAAATATAAATTCCTTGATATTACAGAAAAATTTAATCTTGACACACAAACAAATAAGAATATAGATATTATGGCGGAAGAACTTTGTCAAGTTATATTAAGATAACATCAAATTAACCTTTTATTTTTGTAAACAATTATTGGGGATAATTCTTTTGTTGTTTGTTTTGTTTTGTTTTCAAGACAAGGTTTGTCTGTGTAACAGCCCTGGCTGTCCTGGAACTCTCTTTGTAGACCAAACTGGCCTGGAACTCTCAGATCTGCCTGCCTCTGCCTCCCAAGTGCTGGGATTAAAGGCATGTACCACCACACTCAGCTATTGGGGAAAATCTGAATTAAAAATTAAAATGAAAAAAAAAAAAGATGAACATGTTTCTTCCTCTGCCCACACTATTCCGAGTTACATATTTAAGTGCTAAGATAGTCAATAAATACATAGATAGATACAGTTCAATGATGAGTACAATGGGCACTACTAAAAGTTAAAGGGACATGTGGGGCTTCTGTACACAAGGAGACCAGAACAATCTCTAGGGAGGTGTTCTGTGTATAGAACTGATTGAAAGGAAGGATAGATGTCACACCAATACAGGAAAGATGTTCGGGTCAGAGGAAATAGCAAGAGAAGGACCGAAGTGTTTAAGGATAAGCAAGGATAAGTCAAAGCTGGAAAAGTGGGAATGGAAGAAGAACTCTCAAGGTTTAGTCAATTAAGACCCTTCTAAAAATTATATAAATGGGAACTGGCTAACTCCTAACCATTCACTGATTTTCTAGCTCATTTGTTTTCTCTACTAATATTGAGTAAATAGTTACATTGTGCCAGGCAATAAAATAAACACTGAGTAAAGAGCAGCAGTGAACAAAAATGGCATCATTAATGCTGATGGTTTAGTGAGGGAGACAGATGTTAAGCATGGAAATGTATAGGTGATTTGTGATCATACTTTCTGATGTGCTTTAAATAGGGCAAAAACAACAACAACAACACCCCCCCCCCAAAAAAAACAGCCAAGGGACCCCAGGGAAAGCTTGTGAAATGAAACAACAACAAACCATAAAGCCACCTGGAGAAGTTAGAGTTATGTTGCCTAATGTTTTTAAATAGAAAATGTTTGAGCATTGGAATAAATGAACATAAAAGGATCAGTCTCTTTCTGAATGGATGACTCAGCCTACTGGACTCTTTAAGATAGGAGAGTCAATGAGTCAGAGAGAATCAGTAGCCCATCATTTCTGTATCTAGTCCTTAGTACAACAGTCAGATCAATAAGTGGGAGCAGCAGGCACAGCAGTCCCAAATCTAGTATTGTGTTTACCTAGTACAGGTGTGCTTCAAGTAAAAACAACACAACCAAATGTGCAAGAACCTGATTAAACCAAAAGATAAATACTTTGCATGACAAAAAGATTCTCAGAATTGAGGAGTCACAGGGGAAATTATTTAAGTGGTTAGGGCTTCCCCACTCTCCTTCATTATTCAGTTTGCAGCTGTTTGATTTGCATACAGACTTTCAGAGTGCATTTATTGTAGAAAGCTCAGGACTTCTGCAGAAGATGCTCAACCAATTACACTTCAGAGCTTCTGCTATCTGCTCCATGGCACATCATTTGAATAGACTGCATATCTTCGTCATATGACACCACTCTACTTGCAGGTGGCCACAGTAGTGCACTTATAACATAAAAACGTTAGGGAAATTTCTTGTGAAATCTCATAATTATGTTGTTCTCAAGCTTGTAAGCTTGGTGACATCATACAAGGTGGAAAACAACTAATGTAGAGACTGGATTACTAGACTCCAATCCAACCACGCTATTTAACATCCAAACTCTCCTTACCATTAATGGTCAGAGTCTTTCTACTGTTAGAATGTTAGATATCTGCTTTAGTTTTCAATTTCCATAAATCAGAAAAGACATAAACATGGGGAAAATGGAAACTCGAGAGCCCATTTATTATTGAAATCATTAGCTATGCTACTTGGTTCTAGGGTCTACAAATTATTTATTGGAAGGTGAATTGCTCTGGGTGGATCTTCAGAATTATAGAGCATAGGAAAGAGAATAAAATAGAAAAAGTATGTCCCACTACAGCATCAACAAGAACAATTAACATTTACTCAGCAATTACTATAACTTACATTTTATTTTAAGTGCATTGATTTTAAATTTTAAGCAAATTTCATAGCCCAGTTATCAAGATATTTTTCAGATGAAGAATTTGAAAACATTTATTTGACATCAAATTTGAGGGCTAGGAAAAAGCAAGATTCAAATCTTGTTTTAAGTTTCAAAAATAGAGCATGTTTCTATTCAACATATATAACTTGGGTGCCCCACCAAATGTCCAAACATAAATGGTTTCACATGACCCTGTCTGTCAAGGCACCTCTATCCTGTGAGTTTGAAACATTAGGTAGCATGAGGTTAGAAACTGTCTTGGTGATGTTTTTGATCATCTTAAAGTGAATTTAAAACAATAAATATTTTACAATGAATGATGAAGTTATTTGACATCTCAATTCAATTACCAACAATAAAAAATTGTTTGGAGTGTCTATCAGTGAAAGCACTTTTGAGCACCTGTCATAAAACTCAACTCACTTCTTTTAATGTCCTGTGAACTTGTGGGTTCAAGGGACTACGTGTCCACAGGCAATTATGGCTTCAAGGGAGATTAGACTCGAAAGTTCCAATGATTTTTATCTTTATTCTTTTACTTACTGGAAAAATGCCAAGTGAATTCTTTCAATGGTCCAGTTTCTGTTCTAGCACTTGAAATGTATGTAGCAGTGAAATAAAATGTTTGATTTCTTGAAGCTTCTGTGGTGATTAAGTGATGATGAAATCTGCAATAAATATATGTATCTAGTACTACCCAGTAAGGGAGCAAGAACACCCAGGGAGTGGTATCCTAAGAGGTTTTACACTGGAGGGGTAAAGAGCCAAGCCAAAGTTCTGTGGCTTAAATTCCTTTCTACCTCCCAGTTACTTTCAAAACCCCTTAGTGTTTCTGACATCAATGCATTAGTAACCTCCCCACCCTAAACTTGTGCTAGGAGCTCCAGCGTTAAGTGCATCTTCACTCACATCCAGCCAGCATGGAAGTATGAGTTGTTTTGTACATTTATTCTCTGAAAGAACTCCGAATTCACACCAAATGGGCCAGCATGCACCCTAAGCCTGTTCTTGGCAGAGGATCCAGAATTAAGTGAAAGGCTAGTTTACTTTTTGTGCTTTATTTATTCTTAAAACACCATTTTTATTTAAATTGTTTTTTCATATATTTTGTTCATGTTTCTCCTCCAGTACCTCCTCCTAGATTTTCCCCACCTGCCTACCCCCCCCAACTTAATGCTCTTTCTCAAAAAACAAATGAAAATAAAACCATAAAAACACACAAAATTTTTTAAACAATCAAAAGACCAATAAAACAAAACAAAACAAAACAAAAAATACCCCAAACAAAACAAAATAAAACAAAAAGTCCACAAAACAAACAACCAACACGGACTTCACTTCAAGTTAGCCAACTATTCCTGGGCGAGGAGCCTGCTCTAAAGTTGACATACGCAGTGACACTTAGAGGGAGAAACTGGTTTTCCTTTACCAGAAAACATCAGCTGCAAACATCTTCATGGGAAGGGGTGGGGCACCATGTCCACTTCTTCCTCTCAGGGCTGGGATCCTGTGTGGCTTGAATTTGTGTAGGTCTTACGCACACTGCCCCAGTTTCTGTGAGTTCGGGTGTGCATCAGTCCTGTCGTGTCTTGAAGACACTGTTTCCTTGGAGTCATCCACCTCCTCAGATTTTTATAATCTTTCTGTGCCCTCTTCCACATAGATCCCTGAGCTTTGAGAAGGAGAGGTTTGATAATGAGAGCCCACTTAGGACTGAGTGCCCCAAAGTTACTCATTCTCTATATACTGTCTAGGTGTGGGTCTCTGTGGGTTCTTATCTACTGCAAGAAGCTTCTCTGGTGGGGAGCTGGTCCAGTGATGTCCATTTCTGATGGTCAGGTGGGTTTCTTGCATGCAGCAGAAATAAGAAAGATGGATCCTATTTCCTGATCCAATCTGTCTGTGTTTTTTGCTTAGGGGGATTCAGAGCATTGATACTGAGTTAATGAACAGTGTTCATTTATTCCAGTTATTTTGTTCCTGTAGTGTGAGTTTCTCCCCTTATTTTGATTTACTGTCCTTATATTAATTATTTTTTGTGCTCTGTTGGGTGTGGTTAACCTCATAATGCTGAAGTTTTCCTCCTGGTACCTTTGGTAGAGCTAGATTTGCCGATACAAACTGACTTATTGAAAGTTTTTTATTTCTCCATCAATTATGGCTGATAGTTTTGCTAGATATAGTAGTTTTGGTTGGCATCTGTGGTCTCTTAGAATTTATAGAACATCTATCCAAGAACTTCTGGCTCTCGGAGTCTCCACTGAAAAGTCAGGTGTTGTTTTAATGGGCTTGTCTTTATATATGACTTGGTCTTTTTTCCTTGCAGCTTTTAATATCCTTTCTTTGTTTTACAGATTTAGTGTCTTAATTATA